AAAAAAAACAGGCGCATCTCGAAACTGAGGCTGCAAGTGGGCTGTCGACAACTTCCGCTTTTTTGAATGTTTCGTGCCAAGCCACAATTGGAATTTGATTGATGCGCCTTGTGAATAGAGATAAATACTGTCTCGAAGCAGGGTCGTTAGCTATTTACTGCGTTGCGCATAGCATGCTGAAATTCTTGCATATAAATTAGCAGGGACAGGAACAGCAATTCAAATGTTTGACTTGAATCCTCGAAGAGAACCCGAATTAATTAATAATTAATAAAGACAGCCGAAAAATGGTTGACTTAACAAAAGCTCAGTTCGATTTGCGTATTGCTACAAAATCCATTTATACAAAATCCATCTTGATAAAGTACTAGGTGATAGTTACTAAAGTAAAGTAATTAGGTGATAATTTATGATAATATACTAGGTGGTAATGTACTAGGTGATAATTTTGATGAAGCAAGCGTTGAATGTTGAGAAATAAATATTAATTTTTACATGCGTCAATGACATTTGTTCTTCTTAAAAATGAATAATGTCGCAATCTCCGTCATGAAACTTAAACAAAAAAAACTGAATGCAAAAGCGCTGTTAGCGAAAGAGGGAAACTTAAAAGATTTTGTTCTTCGAGATGTTATTGAGTGAAAAATATACTCTTTACATTGGTTCATCAAGGTCTAATCTACAGAAACAAACTCGACATATCCAAAGGGCTAAGTAAATATTACAGGTGCCTCAAATAATTTCCTAAGGGCCCATCAGCAAATCAATATTCAGTGCAGTTCTAATAAGTTTATTAAATATAACACCTGCAAGGAGCTTAACTCATGCATTGGTGTTGCTTGTAATCACGAAGTCAACGCTTCTCAGAAAATTGCATCAAAGTATTCAGTTTTGAGGTAAACCATGATAGTCTTCTTTGTGAGTTTTTCACATCCTTTTTCTGATAGGTGAAGAACTATTTTAAAATTGACTGGCGCAGTTTTTTGGGTGGCAAATAGCTTCCTCTAACTAAATTGCACAACCATTTTTTACAACGTAATTTCAATATTCATGTTTATCAAACATTTTCATGAGGGGGAGCGGCTAATTTCACGATCAGTTTCTCGACCAACGGTGTTAAAAAGATCTCGTGGCTGAGTAAGAACATACGCAGAGTTTATCAGCACCTTAAGCATTCTGCGTATTTTAACATTGGTAATATCGAATGAAAACACAGCCTTAGAGAAAGCTGCTTTCATGGAAGCAAAACGGCAAAGATGTGTCACAGTTTTAAGAGTGTGTAAAGTAGTACAGTTACATGGTTAGGAAAGTTTCAAGGCTGGGTCTTTACTGATGTGGTACTTGTAAGTAATACAAGATCCGAATGAATTGAACATTCATGGCGTGATCCAAATAAATGAAATGATTTATTGTGTCTATACTGGCACCCCCAGTGGAAAATCTTAGAGTTCTTAGTGCAGCGTTTTCCCGGCTATTTCAATTGTCAGTTAGACTTTTCATAATTGTTAATTGTGAATATAACCTAATGCCAGCCTGAGTGCACAATTGGCACCTTTTGGAGCCTTATTACGCAAGACAAATTCTTCCTTAGGGCTCACGTCACCAGAATTGATTTCATCAGTCAAATTAATTGAGAATTTACAAGACCATTTGTAATTCTTTCTGTGTTGGTAAACTTCACAACTTCCTACTCACATCCACTCGGAAAAATATGCCTCTTGGTCACGATATTAAACTGTTATTCTTTGTATATTTTATCATCAGTTAATTGCAATTCTCTTGGCTTTCGCTCTGACAGATGACTTTCCCTCACCGCTTGAAGTTTGCATTATCTTTAATATGTTGCATGCAACATGCATATGGTACATCAGTAATCTCTTCAAATGCATCAGTAAAAGCGTCCACGACGGTGGCGACAAGTTCACCAACGACAACAAACAAAATCGCATCAACAACACATACTACCACCACATTAACAACATCTAATGCCGCAACATCCTCAATGGTTGTAAATACAACGTCTAGAGGAAGGACGCACACCGCAGGAACACCAATGACGACGACAACAACATCGGCCGCTCCAGCCACAGTAGCATTACCCTCAACAACTCACATTGCAACCAAATTGTCAAGTGCTTATGCTCACACTACAAGTACGTCTGTCATAACATCAACTTCCATGTCCACCATGCGAAATGGTAAGAGACATTTTTGTATTCTTAAATATTAAAGACAACAGAATGGAAATTTAACAGGATGAGGAAAGTTTCTCAACAACATTTTTTTTTTAAATTTCCAGTTTTTTCTCTTACATTCTTCTTTTTCCGCGTTTCGTTCTCCATATCATTTCAATTTTCATTTTTTTTGTTTCTGTGTAAAAATGTCGGCATCAGTACCTTTTCCAATATTAAAATTCTGTATATCAATCAACTGTGGTCGGGTGTTTCACTAAATAACAATTTCATAGCTGCTCGTCACTTGACGAGGAGGCCTAGTTAAGAGAATAGCTGGCCCCTGTCTCCCATGGGATTCGTGATAACAGGTCGGTTACCAAGATAAGACAAGATAAGATAAGATAATTTATTTAATGTCAAAAAAAATACAGAGGGTGGTCTCCCAATCCCCCGAGCCAGACGCTCATGATGAAAGTGTTTGACAAAAAGCTAGAATTGTAATAGCTAAAATAGTAATAAAACCAATTGAATTAGGAATAACATATATCTATAAAATCAAGTCAAAGGCAACCACTGCATTGACAGCCGATAAAATTTAACTTAGTTAAAAGTATGCGTCAGATACATTTTTTATATCAGACGGTAACTGGTTCCAAATACATGAGATCATATACGCATATGAGCCATGAAGGAATCTGCTATTACATGAAGTTTGTACTACGTTTAGACCACTACTAAGATTATATGGTGTAAATCGAGGTTTGAATAAATTGGGTATATGGTCTGGACCATTCTCCCTAAAACATTTAAAAAATATCATGAAAGATTGTTCTATACTTCTATTTTCTAATGTATTCATACTGCCATCCTAAGGATTGATAATCAGTACTTTTCCCCATATTCATTATAGTTCGAAGACCATAATGGTTCGTATCTTCCTGTTTCTTGTTAAGTGTTTTACTTATACCCATAAGTAAAGAGTTGCAGTATTCAAAGTGTGATAATATAAAACTCTTGAAAAGAAGTAATATGGTATTTGCCGGTACTAAGCGCTTGAGGCTGCGAAGTGCGCCTATCTTAGAATATACTTTCTTCAACATGATATTTATATTGTTACCGTAACCTGGGTTCGCTAACACAGAACGCGAGGAACACTTGATTTTTCAGATTTTAATATCGTCCGCGAGCCACACACACTTACAATCTGCTCTGCTCTCGACCACATGGCATGCCCCAAATATGGAGCTACCATATTTGGGCACTATGTCACACAACAGTCCGTTACAATATGTTCTTTAAGAGATAATCAGTTGTTATGTAAACATATTCGAAGGATCTTTAAGTGGTCTTTAATGTCAACGGGAGTGCCAGCAAACTCTACGTCATATCGATAGGATGAGTTCCCAAGGATCATCGCGCCTGGGTCTTGTCCTCGTTGACCTGTAAATAGAGACCTTTAGATTCGACGACGACTTCGAGGACGAGTGCGAGTTTTGGCCGCGCGGAGGCTGGCACTATTGACTGGCACTCGTACGCGCTCTCGTCAAATTGCAACATTTAGATGTCGCATGGAGTGCGAGTTTTTTGTTTACTTAGTTTCGTGCGCAATGTTAGGTCTCCTATGCCTGTTTTAACCCTAAAAAAAAATACCTTTTTTGCCAAGGACATCACAGACTGGGTTATCTCTAAGCTCTAAGCTGTTCATAAAAACTAAGGTTAAAGAATTATCAAAAACTCACCTTTGCAAACTCGTCGTAGAGAGAACGACCTCTGCGAGAAATCTCGTAGTCGACGACAAGCCGGCGACGAGTTGACAGACTTGCGTGACGGCGTGGTGGCTGGTGCGCATGCTCAGTATGCGCGCGCGGAAAATCTCGTTCTCGTCCTCGAAGTAGTCGTCGAATCTAAAGGTCTCTAATAGTTAGAGAGAAACCAGGAAGATAGTCTTCCCATGTCTTGGTTTAATAAGTGTTGAAGAACAATTGGGCTGTGATCCGCCGTAAATTGGGTTGTATTGTCTGCATAGAGGCGGAGGGAAGAAACGGTCACAGTTTCGTTGATGTCGTTCATAAAGATGTTAAATAGTAAAGGACTGAGGAGACTTCCCTGTGGAACGCCACATCGTACCGGTGACCAGCTAGAGCACTTGTTGTTGCATATCATCCTTTGCTTGCGGCCATGCAGATATGATCTTAAGAGTTGAATAGCCGGTTCCTGAACGCCATAAGCCTTTACTTTTGCAAACAGTAAGTTATGGAATATACAGTCAAAAGCCTTGGACAAATCGATGGCAATCACACCCTCCTTCTTCTTTTCGTCAAGGGCGCTTCTCCAATCATCCGTCAGTTTGATCAGCGCCGTAGCGCATGAGTGTCCCTTGAGGAAGCCTGGCATGTTAGATAAAAATGTAGGTGCGAAAGAGGCATACAGCTGATCAAACATTACATTTTCAAACAGTTTGGAGATTGCTGGAAGGACATTGACCGCTGACCTGTCGATAGTTGTTATTG